TGCAGAGTTGGCTGATGTAGCATGGAATGACATGTGCTAAGCAGCAGCAGCATTTCTCGCTTGTTCTAAAGCCAGAGGAATGTGGGGTTTAGTTTCAGGCTTTTCATTGCTGTATTCTGTGTGGGTCAATCTCTGACCACCCCCACCCCTCTGTGTCTTCTCTCTAGATCTCTCCCATTCTGATGACTCATTGTTTTTATCTCACCTATACGGTTTTCTGTATGTTTCAGAAAGGAAGGGGGCTCCTTATGTAACTTGTTTTTTTTCTCATCCATATTGTGCAGTAAGGATTTATTTTAAATAAATATTTATATTTTAATCAATCGCAAAGCAGTCTGCTGTAGTTTTAGTTTTTATTAAGACACCTATAACGTGAATAGGTACATTTTAATGAGCTTCATATTGCACTAAATTGACTCCCACTGCAAATGTTGAGGAATAAACAGCTGAACATTGCATGCCCTGTAATCTGGAGTCAGTTGGTGGACATGTGTAGCTTTTTTGTAACGACTAACAATTGTTTATCCAGCCAAGTCATTGCAATTGGACGAACTAGCTCACTACTTTGAGTATCTAAAATTTTAGAAGCTAATTTCTTCCATTTCATAGAATGGAAATTAGGGCTGCCACAAATGACTTTTATTAGTCGACTAATCGCCAGTTTTGTTGATGATTAGTCGACTAATCACGTGTCATGCATTCAGTCTCTCTCTCTCTTTCTCTCTCTCTCTCTCTCGCTCTCTCTCGCTCGCTCTCTCTCTCTCTCTCTCTCCTCTCACTCACTCACTCACTCACTCACTCACTCACACACACATACACACACACACACACATACACACACCTTTTCGAAGTTCGTGTCATATTTCCTTTCTATCATGGTAGTGAAATGCGATCGGCCTGGTAGATAGTTTTCATAGTATTCTGGGTTGAACTTCTTGAACATATCTTTAAATCCTTGATCGCCGACCATGAACGGGGTCTCATGTCCATTACCAGCATGTTCAAAATGGACTCGGTCAGGACGTTGGCTTGTTGCGGTGTGCACGTGTTTGGCCTTGTAAGAAACTCATCCATTGTAGAAGAAGATCTCTTTCTTTTAGCACTGTAACGTAGCGGGATAAAGTAAATCATTAGCATTTGTAACATTAGAGCTAATACGTGACATACATATGTGTTCTAGACTTATAATCGCCATCACACCTGTTGTTGCTACACCAATGATGCTAGCAGCTAACAAGAGGTAAACTTAAGCCCCCTTCAGACAGGCCATGAAAAAAGGAAATGTTCCGGACACTGTCCGTAAGACCTTTGTGTCTGAATGCAAACATCCGGATAACGTGTTCCGGAATTTTACCGGACGAAGCCCCTAGTAACAGGTCGGGACATGTTACGGACAGGGTGGCTGATTCAGACTGGTGAGGTAGAGTTCCGGACAAGGGGGAGGGGAGGAGGAGGGGACCGGGGGACGCTGTGCGCACCTATATAACTCGCTGCTGTAGCATGCGGCGAACCACGGCAGCTCGCCTCCTACGGTACCGCCTAGACGCGCGACGGAGCGCTTCACACTGCTTCAGTGATTCCTTTAACCATTGAGCTTCATCATCCAGGTCTCTTATGCGTCTTCGTGTGCGCAGAATTATGCTTAAGCGCCTCGTGATTTTTATCTTGAGAGGCGCTATAGAAATGATATTTTCTTCTTCTTCTTAACATGAGTCCGATTCTCCCCCCCACCCCACCCCCCGCCGCCGTCAGACATCTGGAACTTTTCCCTGCTGTGTGAACGCAGCCGAAAGGACAAGTTCCGGTACAAAAGTGGTGTGTCTGAAAACACGGTTCCGGTTAAAAACAGGATTGAATTGTCCGCAAATGTTCCAGAATGTCTGTCTGAAAAGGGCTTTACAGAGGCGACTCTTTGTTCTCCGCCATCACATGCTTCATTTTAAGATGCTCGTGCATCGGTGATGTGCTCCTGTGAAACGAGAGCTTCGCCTCACAGAGTTTGCACTCTAATTGCTTCTCAGTTGTTTTCATGAAGTGCTCCCAAACCTTTGAGCTCTGTTGCCGCCTCGTCATGATGTGTTCTTTCTTTGGTGATTCTGATTCAAATGCTGAGTTGGAGTGGTGCTACTGCGCATGTGCCTCAATTTATGTAAGCAGCGGCTGACGCGGATGGCGACTATTGCGCATGTGCATTGAGCTGTGAGGCAGGAAACAAACGCCGAGCATGCTGCAGTAGGTGAGATTTTAAAAATGCTCATACAATAAATGACGCGTCAACTATTAAATTAATCGTCGACCTTTCTTTATCTTTTTTTTTTTTGTCGACTTCTTCGTGATGCGTCGACTAATCGTGGCAGCCTTAATGGGAATACACCGGGTATTTTAGTACTTGAGTACTTAATCAATAGAAAAAATCAAGTACTTAGATATACATGTTGTGTGCTAGATGTTTCCTATTAGAATCTGAAGTCTCCCCTCTGTGGCAAATGAGGGCATGCCACAAAAGTAATCTCTGTTCTGAACATTTGTCTTGATATGAAAACCATCCTTCAGCTGTAACTTTCGGTCTTTCTGGCTATGACAGTTGTGTCATTTGAAAATTCAAAAAATGTTTCTTTGGTCCCAAATCAGTTTAAAGGCAGGTGAGTTCCTCATCACAGCCGAGAAACTCTGGGAACACAGAAGTCCCACAACTTCCCTTTAATAAGAACAAATCATTTCTGGTAAAACCAACTTAATTTCATCTTGTGGTTAAATCAGCGTAAAATGATAACTAGGAAACAGCTTTATGGTTCTTGCATGTTTCTTGTTTGTAGAGAATGATTGAAACAAAGCATCAAATCCAATCCTTTTTGCCTTGATTATTATTCTACTTTAGCGAATCATTTCAACTTGTAATCTAGTCAAATTTCAAACAAAAGTGCACACCATATAGGTAATAAACACACAGTCATAACTAGTCATTTTAAACTCTTTACTTGAACTATTCCTGAATACAATATTCGTTAGTTGTTTATTGCATGTTTCAGAGTTGAATAAATAAGTGTAAGCAGCTGTGTTGATGGAGATACTGTTGTGCCTTCCTCAGATGTTTCAGTTTGGCTCTTTCATGTGTTTCTGATTTTGAAAAACATGAATTTAATAAACTGGCTCCACAGAACTGGTACGTCCGAACCGTTGTACTGCAACACCTGTTTCACACAGAACTAACAGCAGTTGTTTGACATGATCGTCTTTAGTTTAAATAGTCGTAGGTTTGTACGTAATAACCATCTGATGCTGATGTGATGCAGTTTCATCTTTTACAATAGAGTTCTCACTTAACAGTAATGAAACATTAAGTTTCAGGTTGAATGGAAAGCGGTGCAAATGAAGTAAAACATCAGATGAGAGCAAGAGAAGGTGTTTCACTTTGCTTGTTGATCTGTCTTGTCTGATTACACGTTCCCCTCTGAACTCTGGAGACCTCTTAATCGGGTAATGTCAGGATTTAAAGGCATCCCCCTAAACGCGCCCCAGAGATCATTACCATGCTCACACTTCGGTTCGGTGGAGCAGAAAACCACGGATTCCCTGTATGGGTTGTATTTTTACCAAACAAATTGAAATCAAGAATTTGCTGTGGTTCAGTATAGGGCTGCTGGATGATGGCAAAAATAATTATCACGATTATTGTGACTGAAATTGAGATCTCGATTATTTAAGATGATTTTTCAATTTATGTTGATTTTATTTGTTTTTATTCATAAAATTGCTCAGGGCACAATCAGGACAAAAATAAATAAGAAACAAGATGATCTCTAAAATAACTCCTGATTCCCAGTATAAAAAGACCAATATACTTATAGCTCATAGTCTATGACCCAAGGGCGTAGGAACTGGGGGGACGGGTGGGACGTGTCCTCTCCAATATTGGACAAACGCGCATTTGTCCTCCCCCCAATAACATGGAGAAGAAAAAGATTGATTTTGAAATATTTGACTCGCGAGCTTTTATTTTGAAAGACACCGCGGACTTCTCTCCAACACAGCCCCTCCCCTCAGGGAGTTAGACAGGCTGGTTGAGTGAAGCAGGAGTCAGAGCCGGGGCAGACACAGGTGTCAGAGACAGACGGCAGCAGCTCAGCAAGTTCTTCTCATGGGCAAAAAAAAGAAAGAAAGGAATTGTGAGTTGGTAATAATGTAGTCCAAGAGTATATTTGTATTTCTGGTCGAACGCTAAAATGGCTGACTAACATAAACATCTTGCTAGTTGGCATTAAACATTAAACAACACTACTAGTCAACATAAAATGGTGAATTTTACAGTAACAGACAAAAACCATTTGACACAAAATAAATAAAAAAGTTGAATCTCCACATAAAAAATGGAGTTTGTATATGTTGAGGTAATTTGACCACTCTGGCTATCCGTAGATGTTTCCTCATTACACAGGGTAGGGAGGGGTTTGGCTCGTCTCCGCACAAGCAGGATGGAAAACAGAATTCCGTTGTCGCCGTAACCCACGCCTTACAAACTCTTAACTTTTTCAACAGAATTGCTCGGAACGGACGGAGTATTTACTAGCATAGCAAACCAGAGTGGAAAAAAACGAACCGGAACAACATTTCTCACCCGTTGAGCTCGCCTTCAAAATAAAATGTTTACCCTGTAGTTTACTATTAAAACCCTTACAATATGTTTGAGGTAATTTGGCCACTCTGGCTATCTGTAGATGTTTCCTCATTACACAGGGGAGGGAGGGGTTTGGCTCGCTCCCCACAAGCGGGATGGAAAACAGAACTCCGTTGGCGTTGAACGTCCCCAAATAATTAAAAACCAGAATGCCAAATGCAAAGTTTAGAGCAGCACATTTATGTATGATCCTGACTTGTCCAAAGCTGGAAAAAAAATCTTTTTTTTTGGGGGGGGGGGGGGGGGGGGGCATTTTTTTGTCCTTTCTCTACAGCTAAACAGGACATAACATCTAATCTTAATATTTCACTTCTAAACCTTACAGGTAACCTCTCCCAGTAGAGATCCGGTGAATCCACATTCCTCTGGCGAGGTAATTGTGCAGAAAGGGCTGTGTTCATAAATACTCTCACGTGTAACCAAAGGTTTGTGTTTCAGATCTCAGTCTGTTGCCTGTCGGGCAGTTTGTACTAAATACACATGAGAACATTGAATTATGCTGTATTTACCTGTGTTTACTGCATTTTTATTGTTCCCTTCTGTTTCGCTGTTTTCTGGACATTTTGGGCTTCAACCATGAAGTGGTGGGTGTGTAGTCACTAGCCTATGACAGCGCGTGGGGGTGAGGACTATAAAAATGCAGTGATCAGTGCAAATCCCTGTCTCCTCCTCCCTCTCAGCTGTCTGTTTACACGTCTCTGCTGTTCACATACAGGCTTTCCTCAGCAGAACTTACAAACCTGCTGATCCTGCACACGGATGAGTGCAGAGTTGTGGACGTGGTTAACTGGCGTTGGAGCAGAACGAATTTATCAGATGTTTTTCAGTGCTTTTTTTAAGGGATTAGCGCTTCCCACCTGTCCTTAATCTCTGTACTTTGCTAACCCAGTTTGTGTTGCTATACATTAGCAGTTTCTACCTAAAGCCAGTTTTTGGGTTTCTGTTCTGTGGTTTCCTGCATTTTACAGGTCCCAGCCTTACTCACCACACCTAATAGAACCGGATCTATTGATTGAGGGTAGGGAAGAAAATCCCTACTCATCCTTGGCATGGTTAGAGCTATAAAGTAAACCAATTCTTTTCATTATGGCAAACATTCGTCTTGATTCAAATTCCATTGACAGCCATTTGTGTCCCATTCAGAAGGCACCCACTGAAATCTCCATTGGCGTTTAGCCCTTCGGTGACCTGATCAATGGCGTCAATTTCTGACACGTGTACCATCTGACCAGTGTTCTGTAAGCTGAATTGTTAGCATTGTTAGCTTCAATATTGTTATCTGATCCTTTCACCCAAAAATAGTTCAAATCTATATTAATTGAAAGGGATATTACTCCTAAAGTTTAGCTCCAGGCTACATTGTGTCGTCACTCTGCTTTTAAAGTAACACATCTGATGGTAAAGGAAACTGTAAGAGATAGCTGCTATGATATCTGTTTCTGTTGCTCTCTTTGTTTCTAGTTTCAGCCTTTTTGTGATTATACAGTCACAGAGTAGTTCTAAGTTGAGCTTTGTGTCAGTAAAGTGGTTAGTACCGGTTTATGTATTATTAGTTTGTTATATTTATGTTTATGTTTTTAGCAGACGCTTTTGCCCAAAGCGACTTACAAGTGATAATCGGCATGTTGCCCTTGAGGCTAACAACAACAATACCAACAACTTGACATCAAATTCAAATTAGCTTTGAAAGGGACTAGCACACTAATCCTAGTGACCTTTGACCTCCTAATTACAGATGTCTGAGATGGGAAAACCTGGTTGTGCTCTGCAGCAGTGACTGATTTCTGTCTGCTGATGGAGTGACCCCGGGTTTAAAGCTGATTTTTTTTTCTCAGAGGGCACTATCTGGAGGATGCACCATAAGCCTTTCTCCTATTTCTGCGATTACAGCTGGAAGCAACACGTCTTGTTCGTAAATGCGCATCTCTAGCTGGCCAACCGACCTAAACCGCATTGTTTTACAATCATTACTCTTACACTATGCTGGTTATTCACATTTAAATAGGCTTTTAATGGAGCGGTTCACAGTCAAGTGCGAAGCAGCTAGGTTGAGAATCAGCTCCTCTAAATCAGACACCATTCTACCCATGAGTCGGAAAAGGGTAGAGTGCCTTCTTCAGGTCAGTGACGAGGTCCTGCCTCAAGTGAAGGAGTTTAAGCATCTCAGGGTTTTGGTCGCGAGTGAGGGAAAGATGGATCAGGTGCCTGCCGGTGGTGGTCGGAGGGACCGGTGGCGCTTGTTCTCAGCAGCTTTGCCTCTGTCAGTGTGCCCCAGGGCAGCTGTGGCTACATCGTAGCTCATCACCATTAGTGTGTGAATGGATGAATGATACACTCCAGTGTAAAGCGCTTTGGAGTCCTTACTCTGAGAGGCGCTATACAAGTGCGGGTCATTTATCATTTATCGATAGGCGGATTGGTGCTGCGTCTGCAGTGATGCAGGCGTTGTACCGATCTGTCATCGTGGAGAGATTTACCGGTTCATCTACTTTCCTACCCTCATTTATGGTCACAAGCTTTGGGTAGTGACTGAAAGAATGAGATCCTGGTGAGGTTTTTTGGGCACATCCAACCGGGAGGAGACCCTAAGGAAGACCTAGGACATGCTGGAGGGACTGTTTCTCTTCTAGCCAGGGAACACCTTGGGATTCCCCCAGAGGAGCTGGCCGAAGTGGCTGGAAAAGGGAAGTCTGGGTCTCTCTGCTTAGGCTGCAGCCTCTGCGACCCGACCCCACATAAGCAGATGAAAATGAATGTTTGTATGTGCGTGTGTGTGTGTGTGTGTGTATATATATATATATATATATATATATATGTGTGTGTGTGTGTGTGTGTGTGTGTGTGTGTGTGTGTGTGTGTGTGTGTGTGTGTGTGTGTGTGTGTGTGTGTGTGTGTATGTATTATGGCCCGACTGATATATCGGCCGGCCGATATTGGGGTCATTAGCAGCATCGGCTATCGGCCAAAAAGACGGCCGATATTGCGCTACCTATCCAGCAGATGGCGCCAGCTTTATGAACTCATGTTGTGTGGCTCCACTCCTTTGAACTTTGAACACAAATTATTGTTTTGGAACTTTTTTTTTAAATTTATTCTCATTTATGTTTCTTATGTGCAATTATTTCCTGTCCAGGGTGAATAAGTTCACCAAGTTGACTTCCACAGAGTGTTACTTTGTTACAAAGCACAAGTATTACGTTTTATTTATTGCTGCATTTTTATTATTTTAGTATTCTTATAGGGATCTTCTGTCCCTAAACTTGTGTGTGTTGTTAGATTCCCCAGAGTTAGCTAAGTCAGAAAAAACATTTTGTAATCAGTTGTTTTAGCATAAAGTAACGGAAGGGAAGGCTTGCATTCACCTACATAAAAAACACTACAACGTATGTGAATTCACTTACATTGTTTTATGCTAAACTAAGACAACCAACAGATCATATTGGGCTGGTTATAAAATGCTTTTTCTGACTTGTCTAACTCTGGGGAATCTTAACAAGACACGGTTTTACTGAGTGGTGGAATATTCCTTTAAGTTGAAATGTAATGGTGGAAACCACAGTTTACAAGAAAAAACTTGAGTGTTAGATTTATGCTGTGACTGAGTTTGTGTGTTCTGTTGTTTTTGAGATCTGCTAAATAAATCTTACTTGCATTACTTGGAAAACCTAGTGAGTTATTGAGACAGTTCTTTGGTGTGTAATAGAGGAATGAGTTTGCATTAAAAAAGCAGCGAATGAAGGGTTTAAGCTTAAAATTTTTATTTCTTTTTTTGTGATGGAGATTTATCGGCCATTATATCGGCTATCGGCCTTTGTTAAAAGTTTTATATCTGTATCGGTCCCAAAGGAAACATATTGGTCGGGCCCTAGTATGTGTGTGTGTGTATATATATATATATATTAGGGCTGTAGCGAAGCCTCGACGAAGTCGACGGCTCGATTCTAAAAATTTGTCGACGTCAGATCCGGAAGTCGACGCACCGCGCCCACTTGTTGCATCTCCAGGAGTTTGTAAATAGAAGAGGAATCTGCCTGTTTTTCCTCTAGTTCGCCCTCTTCTCCGCCTTCACTAACATCTCCGCCAAATACCGAAGACCCGGAACAACGTCCGTCCACTACTAGATTATTTTCCTGTTTTGCCCCTTCGTCTCCCGGCAACGGACAACAACTTCCGGGGTCAGATGCGCTGCTTCGTGTCTATCGCAGATGCAGAAAATCACCGGGAGCGCTTCTCCCTTCATTAGGGAGCTTCTTTCAGACACTAGGAGAGCTGTTTTGGTGGTAGCAGTCTCTCCTCCGTGCTGGTCTGTTTGCTGCTGGGTGTTTTTGGTTTATTTAAACTTGGTAACTTGAACTTAATGTTGGTAAAGCTACTGTTAGCATCTTCGCTAACAGCTTCTTGCGTTGGGATAAGCTGTTTCGTTTTGGTTTAGAGTTAATCTTTTTTGTGGTGTAGATCTCCCTTTTATTACATTTAGAGTGTTGTGGGTTTTCGGTTTAGTGTAAAATATCACCTGAGTTTGGTTTAACCCGTAAGACCACTCGCCTCACGCACATAAGTGACCAAAACAAAGCAGCATGGAGACACTCCATCTTCTACCACCTCTCAGGCAGCAGCCTGCACTCCCCAAGTTCTACACGTCACCAGAACATAACCAACCGCAACACAATAAAAGCAGTGTTATACAAAATGGAAGGCCTGTAGTGTTTATTCTCTTACAGTAAGAATTTATCCATTTTTTTGAGGAATTTATTTGAGATTTTCTGGTTTTTGTTAATTGTGCAATAGAAAAATAATCATTAGATTAATTTTCTAAATAGTCATTAGAATAGTCGACTATTCGATAAAATAATCGTCAGAATAATCGTTTTAAAAATAATCGTTTACCCCCAGCCCTAATATATATATATACACACATATATATTTTTTAAATTTATTTTAAGATTTTATTGTCAAAAAATGTCAGACTCTTCATTAATCTAGGTACTTCTGCTAACGCTCACACACTGCTATTGGCTAACACTAATTACGTATTGCTTACATTATATCACATTACAGGGTCAGACTATCACTTTTATGGATTTCTAAAAAATATTGCACATACCTTCTCTAGATTGCTGCTCTAATGATTTATTCATACCTCGTGTTTTTTCCAAGGTATTTTTCATGTGTAAAGTAATGCTTCTGTTAAAGTGACCTTTTAACATAGAGCTTTCTCAAAATAACATTTTCTTTAAAGTTTTTTTTTCTAATAATCAAATATATACACTTTTTATAAGCACTAGCACTTTCAAAAAGCTTATTGAAGTAACTACACCCTACTTGGTTTTGAGAAAAGACGGTGGTCACGCACTTTTCTTCACATTGATATGATTTTAACTGGACTAACTGTAATTGTTTAATAATTTAATTGCAGTCACGTGGACAGAATTATTCATATAAATACGTTTCTGAATCCCAAAGGCTCTTTCTTTTTTTCTGTTGATTGTTTATTCAGAAAAAAATTGTTTTATTAATAAAAATCAGAAATGAGTCCATTGGTTGTGAAGTTATCAATTAAAATATTTCCAAATTCCAGTTAAATTGTTACCGTGAACCTAGCTTAGTAGTGTTCACACTTTGATGTAGTCCGTTGTGTAGTCCAAAGATCAGGGCTGGTGTATAAAGCGACTTTATAGACATGTTAGACCTGCATCAATTGGACCATTGTTTTTAGTTGCTTTTTTTTTAGGGATGGACAATATATCGGCATCAATATCTGTATCGGCCGATGTTAGTCATTTTTTAACATATCAATATTGGTTCGATAAATAAAACCGGGTCGTTATTAACAACTGATATTTTTCCCATCTTGTCTCCATTTGTTTGCCTGTTTCAGAGGGTGAGGGGGTTGATGTGTAATTGTTAAGTCATGTGAACAGTGATTGTAATCATCTCAGAACCATAAATGTGTGTGTTGTGTGTACATAATAATATAAATTCAGCTTTAATAATTTTCATTCTACACAAAATCTGCTGATTTTAGAAGCATTAATGTCAGTATATCGGTATCGGCAAATATCGGTTATCAGTCATAACAGTGATTTTTATATTGGTTTTGGCCCAAAATTTTCATATCGGTGCATCACTACTTTTTTGTTTCTGTGAAAGTTTAAAGAAATTCATATCGTCCATAATCTCATTTTAAGGATGTACTATGAATTTTTTGTCCAATACCGGTATCGGATATTAATATCACATTATCACCCCCTCACCCTCTGAAACAGATACACAAACCGAAACAAGATGGAAAAATACCTGTTAATATCAGCCCAGTTTTACTTATCGGATCTAGGGTTGTCACGGTGTGAAAATTTTACCTCACTATTATTGTGACCAAAATTATCACGGTTTTTGGTATTTTCGCTGTATTCTTTTAAACGTGTTACATTTTCAGACAACTAAATTAACCCTGTATATCCGGAAAATGGTGTCCTCAGTTTGTGTCTAAATTTAGCCTAAAATTTGTTATTTTTTACTTGTTGTTTATTTGTTTACGTTTTTCCCCTTTAGTCTTTAAAATACCAATATTTGCCCATGACTTCTCATTTTTTGCCTGTTTGGTGTCATCATTTTATGCTTACTTTAAGAACGCTGTAATCCACCCGCTTCTTAAAAATCCGAGTCTTGACTCCTCTCTCCATAGCAGCTTCAGACCCATCTCTAAACTTCCGTTCATCTCCAAGATCTTGGAAAAGGTTGTGGCTAAACAACTCACAGCTACTCTTGATGAACATAACATCTATGATTGCTTACAGTCAGGTTTTCGTAGAGCTCATTCTACTGAAACAGCTCTTCTTAGGGTCTCTAATGACCTTCTGACTCACAGTGATGCTGGGGACTGTTCTGTTCTGGTGCTGCTGGACCTGACTGCTGCCTTTGACACTGTTGACCATCACCTGCTACTGGAGAGGCTGAGAGACTGGGTAGGCCTATCAGGATCTGCTCTGGAGTGGTTCTCCTCTTATCTTTCTGAGCGCTCCTTTTCTGTGGCCATCTCCCAAGTTTAGGTCCTCCACCACTTCCCTTACCCATGGTGTCCCACAAGGTTCTGTGCTGGGGCCTCTGCTCTTCCTCCTCTATCTGCTCCCTCTTAAGCACATCCTGAGCTCCTTCAAAGGAATCTCCTACCATCTTTATGCAGATGACATCCAACTGTACATCTCCTTTAAGCCCCATGAGATGTCTAAGCTGCAGCTGTTACACACCTGCTTAGACTCTATCAAAACCTGGATGGCTGGGAGCTTTCTTCAGCTGAATAAAGATAAGACTGAGATCCTCATCTGTGCCCCAGACAAGCTGGTTCCCAAAGTCAGAGACTCGCTTGGTCAACTTGCTTCTCACACCAAACCTTCCGTCAGGAACCTTAGCATGACCTTTGACCCAGCTCTCACCCTGGATTCTCATGTCAGTTCTCTTGTTCGCTTTTCCTTCTTCCATCTCAGGAACATTGCAAAGCTGAGTCCCATTCTGTCCCGCTCTGAACTTGAGACAGTTCTCCACACCTTCATCTCCTCACACTTAGACTACTGTAACTCTCTTTTCACGTGTCTGAGCAGAGCCTCCCTGAACCGTCTACAGGTGGTTCAGAATGCCTGTGCTCGGCTTCTGACCAAGTCCTCCAAACACGCCCACATCACCCCGCTTCTCCTCCAGCTTCATTAGCTGCCAGTCAACTTCAGGGTTCATTTCAAGATCCTGGTTCTGGTCTATAGGGCCTTACATGGACAAGCACCATCTTACATTGGTGATCTTCTTAGTCCCTACACCCCCAGCAGGCCCCTGAGGTCCGGTGATCAAAGCCTACTGGTTGTGCAGCACCAGGCTAAAGACCAAAGGTGACAGATCATTTGCTGCTGTGGCCCCCAGACTCTGGAACTCTCTCCCCCTGAGCCTGAGATCAGTGGACTCAGTGGTCTCCTTTAAAAAGCACCTGAAAACTCACTTGTTCATGCTGGCTTTTGTATGACCTTCTTCACCACTCTCTCTTTATTCTGCTCTCCTCACCTATTCCACCTTCCTCAGAATCCACTGAGTTCCCTCTTTCCTGTTCACTCTCTCTCTTTCTTAACATTTTTTAAAATCACAATTGTGTATTTTTTGCTTATTTAAAATATATTTTTAACCATTTTCTAAATTCTTTTTTATATTTTTACATTTTTTGTTTTTGTGAAGCGCCTCGTGATTTTCATCTTGAGAGACGCTATAGAAATGATATTTTCTTCTTCTTCCACCTGGATGTTATAATTCAGTTGTTTCTTCCAGCAGGGAGAAGTGGATGATGTTTAAAGGTTTCCAAGCGTTAACATCTCGCAGCAATGGCCTGAGGGATTCTCTGGACTAAAACCAAGGTGAGAAGCAGAACCACAACCATTACTACGCAACATAGCAGATGGACGGCCTTGTCAAAGCACCGAATTATGAACTGTGGGTGATGCAATCACAGGGGTGGACATTAACTTCAAAACCAACCGGCCAGCCGGGCCGGTAACTCTGAATATTTACCGGCCCCGCCAAGAATCTACCGGCCCCGCTGGTCAGCCGCCAAAACGAGTCAAAATAACAACTGAACCGTTTTAAATGTAATAAACCTTTATTTTGTACACATTCACAAATATAATAACGTATTCAAGTTTGAATTTGTTTGTTCCCTCAACAAAACACGATTTTGTCGTCGCATACTTCCGGCATACAACGCAGTACATCACCAACGCCGCTTTGCTGTATTCGAGCCATTGACTGTGTTTGAGATAAGCCAGTTCTGCGCAGGTTAGACCAGCGGTGATCGGCGAGCAGTGCATGCCGGTTAGATTTGTGTCCGAATTGACCCGACTTGCTCTGACGTCATGCATACGTAGGCATCGATAACCTCGTGAGATCAAGGCGGCCGCAGATTTTGGAGCAAGGCGCTGCAGTTGCTCTCTACCGGCTGCAAAACATAGAGGATGATGGGAAACGCCTGGCTCTCACCTGATCTAAGATCTGATTGGTTCACATTTTGATCCAAACATCCGGTGGTAGAACATGAAATGTTAGTTGGTCACATGTATTCTGTAAATCATGTTACGTTGATGATAACAACAATATAGGCCATAAGGAGAAATGTGTTTTGTGTTCTTTTGTCACGTTTCCTATGAACACACTGAACAGCTGCTAACCTTTACTTATTATTACAGTCATGTTTTCATATAGAATATATGATATCCACAAGCGCGTGAGGATGTGTTTCTGCTGCTAACAGGCACCAGAATTAAAATTGAAAATTGAACAAGTGTGAATGCTAACGCGATATCTTCATCCATCGTCACCCCCGAGCTACACATGTAGGTAAGTCCAAGAGATTCAACTGGCAGAAACAACTGGTTCACACCACACACTCTCTCACTCTCACTCTCACTCTCACTCTCACACACACACACACACACACACACACACACACACACACACACACACACACACACACACACACACACACACACACACACACACACACACACACACACACACACACACACACACAGAGGAAAAGAGCTGAGGAAATGGAGGACACCAAGTAATTAAAAGAAAAACTACAGCTGAGCCGAGGCGCGCCTCGAATGGGGCGCGTCTGAACTGAGGAGCAGCGAGCAGCGGCCGGACTTCGTGAGCGATTCGCTTCGGGCGCTTCCGCGGCCGGTGTGTCCCCGGCGTTAAACGCCGGCTTTCAGCCACTCCCCCTGCTGCTTCCGTCTGCTCTCGTCTGTTTTCCAGGCGAGCCGCTACTCAACTCAAATACGGCCATTCTCCGCGCCTACCGTCTTCTTTAAACCGCCAAGAATCATTCCACCTACGCACACGCTTCTCTGCTTCATACCGTTTCGAACTGTCTCGCTTCTCCTCACCAGTTTTAAAGCGTTTTGCCGGAGAATGCATCAAGAAATCCAATCCCTGTGGTGGCGCGATCTTCCTGCGTGCTTGTGTGTTTCTAGCGTGGTTCCACTTCGTCTTTAATAGTGAACTTATAGTTCACGTGACAATAACTAGAATCGTGCAGGACGTGCACGAATCGTACAAGTGCAGTACGTGGCTAGAGGCGCGCAGGTTCACGCGCGCGAAACGAAAACGGCAGCTTCCTACAGGGCGGGGCCATGATGTAGGTGAAAGCCGGTGTGTAAATGACAAATAAAGCTTGGGCGCCACCCGGGCGGTAAGTCGTCAAGTATTTACCGCCCGACGAGAAAATTTAGCGCCATTGGCGCTCGGGCGCTTTAAAGGTCCACCCCTGAATCATCTCAACTATGTTCTACTCACACAGCTTCTCCTGTGCCCCCTGCTTAGACCCGATGAGACTTATTATTGATTATTAACACAAAGATTTCAAACAGCAACACATTCAGTTGGGTGCTTAGGAGTCTCAGTAAGCAACAGAATCCATGTTAGCTTAATTTAATAGTAAAATATCTACTTGTAGTGTCCTAATATTTCACTCTTTACAGGAATCTGATTTCCTGAGTGATATCTGAATCTTCCCACTGGTGAAGCACTCGGCCACAGAGGAATTGTTGACTGGGTTATTGCCAGGGGGTTCTTATTCATGCTGCTGGTCATTAGTGTTGGCTTTTAGTGATTCACACGTCATTACACATACCTAAACCACCAGTTTTCTCCTCCCTTTTAATTTATCTGTCAGTCTAATGCCAGCATTCCCTGCTTTATTATACTGAAGTCTTCTGCTGCTTGTTCTGTGACATCCTGAAGTTACTGCTGGCATTAAAGATTGATGAGTGTGATCAGCTTTCAGTAAATGGGCCTGGCTGGTTGGTGCACTCTGGCACTTTAAAGCCATTACCTTGCTTTGATTCGGGAGGGAGGAGACAGTTAAGTGGGACTCGGCCGCACGTAATTTGCATACCGTGTTCAATTTTAGGTTTTCTTATCTGAGAAGCTGACTGACATCTAAACGTTCCTCGTTATCCAAGGTGGTGAGGAATGTTTAGGAGTCAGTCAGCTGACTCTGGACCTCACGCAGATTTCAGCACATGAAGACTCTCGATTTAGGGGAGTTGAAAACTTGGGGAACCGATTTGACCCCCAGTCTTCTCTCATTGGAATCCATGAACCCGTGACTTTATTTTTGTGTTTCTTTTTTTCATCTTGCTCTGCCTTTCCCTTGATCCAAGCCTGATAGCACAACATCTGGTTCAAGGTAACAGCAGCTGTCAGCAAAGCCGGAGCTTGCTGCAGACCCCCACATGTATTGGAATCTGTTGAAAGTGATATTGTTTAAATACATGTTTGCCTTCATCTCGCTTGAGTCCAGCTTGTTTCTGTGTGCATTGGCGCTTTTTGCACCTCTTCTCACCCTCGCAAATGTGGAGGTGTAAAGCGAGACGCCACGAGTCCTGCAGGCCCCCTCTTTTGTCATGATTTCCTCCTCAGTTTGCGGGTAATAAATGGCCCCCGTTTCAACCCTCCAGAAGCAGTCTTTATCCGTGCATTCTTTCCCTCCATGTCTTTCTCGGGGCCAGTTGTGCCCAACACGCCACATGAGGACAAATTACACACCAGCAAGACATTGTCCGGTGCCCCACAAAGGTTTTGCACTCTCTGGAAGGGTTGTGGTTATTACAGTGCAGGAGACGTCAAACGTCCCCCCAGCAGCTTTTGATGCAGTTTGATGTGTAGTCATAGTCGGCACACTCTGGGCTCCAGAAACACTAGGTGTGTCGCTATAAAGAAAGCCACGCTAAGCCACGTAATTACAGGAATGGCACACTGCTCCCTCCTCTCAGCAATCCGATGATGATCCTTTTCTCCTGCATACATTTTTCCTTCATTATTCTATGACTGGAATAGGTGAGTCAGTGTTTTTACAAGCTACCACTCTTTTGTGATATATGTTCAGGCTGGTGGGATTGGAGAGCTGCTTCGTAGCAGTGATAAAAGTGTAATGAGTTAATTTGCATGTTATTTAATGAGCCATAAGACATAAGATTCCATAGTAATATGAAATCAACCTTATGGATCTGTGGGTACTGTTTAACCAGAAGATTGGAACTTTTTATTGCAGGGATTATGTAATAACCTCGTATTGATCCAGAGACAACAGAAGAGAGAGTCAGGTTTTAAAAGTTTAAAGATTTATTACTAAACAAATTAAAACTAGACTAACTTTAACACTAAATGTATGGTGGAACTAAGTGAATGAGACGGAGAATGGTGTAGTGTGGAATGTTGCTCAGAACCAGCAAATCCAAAGAAACGATTAGTTCTGATGGGAAATGAAGGTGATGTCTTCGCGCTAAGCTTTGATTAGGAGATTCATAAACACATTCAACGCCATTCCGTCGGTATACATACCCTTAGCGGAAGTCCCCGTCTAGATCAGGAGGTGTAGAGGTCCAGTTTGACCCTCTCTGGAACCGAAGCTGGTAGGAAAAGCAGCGGTTGCCGACCAGACCAGTCTTTGAGATACTTCCGAGTCACGACAGTTTGTTGGCATCTAGCGAGACCCAAAACTGGGTCGTGATGGTTCAGCTTTTATTCTGAAAGGAACCGTTGCAGCAGTTGGAACAGCAACAGATTTTATCCAGCTTGTCGTTGGTTCTTTTGGCTGAAGAGGAAAGTTACGGATTGGCCACCCCGACAACTTCTCTAGAACGCTTTGAACTGCGTTAAAGATGACGTGGGCATAGTTTTATACTTCGGATGTTTTGGTTTATGGTCGAATGAAAAGGTGACAGATTTACCAAGCACCACCAAAACCACGCCTCCGTCAGATCTGGCAGATTCTGATTGGATCAGTAAAAGCAATTTGTCATGTCTTAATGCTAAGTGAGATCAGTCCTAGTGGAAACATTTAAAGTCATATTACTTATTATATTCTATAGGATTATAATAAAGTAATTAATATTTTCATTTCACAGATTGGTCACATCTTATTGACTAACACTTTGTTTGATTAGCTTGATTAAAAATAAAGTTCTTTGATTTAGTAAAAGAAGAGAGTCCTTTCATCATTCTTCTCTTGAGCTGGAAAGAAGCAGTTTAGAAGCAAATGCATGACCCCCAAATTCCACTACCTCCGCTCCGCTCCGACACGAACGCCGGAGCAAAATCGGTCCCGTTGTAGTCAATCAGAGCAATTCCACTACTGCGGCAGTGCGGCGCCGTGCGCCGCCCTCTGTTCCGGCGTCCGGCAAAAATAGAATCGATCCTATTTTCGCTGGATGCCGGAGCACCTCCGTAGTCAATGGACAGAAATCACAACCGCCAAACAGGAAAAGGAGCAAGCACAACTTCCGTTTTTCACAATCAATCGATAAACAAAAGGCGTTTTTTGTTTCATATGCACAGGTTTAACAACTTTTAA